TACAGAGAGGTGAATACACTGTATGGGTGGAAGATGAGTCTCTTTGTATCACTTTGCTCTAGAACTACCATCTGGAAAGCTGTCATGTACATGTAGCATGATAACACTGACTTTTGAACAGTCTAGATCTCTCAGTTATGGGTTTGTTATCCTTATTTCCAGATACCAACTGCTCCGCCAAGTTACACTGGACGACACCTCTGGTGAAAGGCTGTAGGCTGTAGAGAATAAGAATCCTTGTTGCAGATGTTGTTCCCTGGCAGTGTGTCTTTGAGGGAAGGAATCCATAACAGTACCAGAACAAAGCAACAAAACATCCAGGATCTTTCGAAATCCTACAGAGGATTTTGCCTAAATGTGAACACCATTGAACTGAGAATTGCAAAAACAAAATTGTAAAACTGAAGCTGAATCTAACTTAAAATTGAAGTAGGCACACCTTAAATTGGAAGAGGGGATATTGTGTTCTGAAATGTAAGATATTCTCTTGTCTGTAACTTGTGTGCCAGGCAAGCCTGTTTTTGGTGGTTGCCAGTTGCTTGCAAAATACCCTCCTCTCACCTAAACTTAATTCATGTTGCCACAAGAGATTGCCACGCAGGACTTCTTTCCATTTTGCTCCTTTTCCCTTCATTTCAAACATCATGAGAAGTACCTTGTTTGCTCATTATGTAGCTGTACTGTACAGTCACGTAGCATCATGTGTAGTCAAGCATTGTCACTCTGTGGCAACTAAATTCCCATTACGCCGTAGGCTGATACACTGCTCTTCAACAAGCTGGTCTAGGAGGTGCAGTTCTGGAGGGATGAAAGGTCTAGGAATGTTTCACGCGAGTTATGGAGCTTCTTGAGGCAGAGAGGGCAAGCGCAGGTCCAGCACAGAGGCAGCCGTCCTCGGCCTCACGGGAAGGATTCCCTGTTATTCCAGCCTCAATCCCGGTTGTGAGCGGAGAGCTGTGCGCTCCCACATCTCCTGCAGGCGAAGCCATTCAGTGAAACCTTGCAGGGCTGTACTTTGGCAAAGGTTTAGCTGGGAGGGAATGTGAGTGGCGTTTGCAGCAGCAGTTGGTTGTGCTGGTGGGTGAAAGGCAGCGCTGCTGCCCTGCCCAGCGCTGGGGTCGGGCTGATGGCCAGGCGGGAGCGCGGGGGCAGCTGAGGAGCACTGACCACCCCTGGGAGACACTCAGCAGCAGAGTAGGGTCGAGACCTCCCTTTCTAGTCCCTGTTCGTATGAGTAGTCCCCTTGACTGCAGTTGTTTGTGCATTTAAATGTGGTTGTGCATTTTAGTGCCTAGAGAGTAGAATCTCCGTGCTGGAGGTGGTTTGTTGTTGTTTTCGTTTATTTAAGGTGGTTTCTTCCCTACTTCTCCCCTCCCCATCCATTTTCTTGAGTTGATATAAGGCAGACTTGCTCAAACCTTTTTATCTTTGTTTTCTCCAGGTTATTTAAAAGGTTCCCATTGCCCATTTTTTGTGCCATGGTTTTTCATTATATTGAAGCAATCATTCCTTTCTTTAACATTTAATACATATCGGACATTGAAAACATCATTGTATCCTCACTGTTTGGCCAATGTTAATCTTAGCTTTCCTCGATACTAAAAGCTAATTGTTTTTACTTGAAGGCATAGGAAACATATAACAATTAAACTTTGCATATGCTGTAATAAAAATATATATTTTCAAACTAAAAAAAAATAAAATGTACAAATAACTGAATAGCTTAGTAGCTTCAGAGAAAGAAGTTACTTGCTGTGTACTGCAAAAGAAAGACAAGCTTTTTATTTTTCAAGAGTCTTCCTGATTCTTCATGTACCTCCATTTCTACTGAATTAGGAACCTAGTCCTGCAGACTTGTACTCCCACGAGTAGTCCCATCGGCACCAGTAGGTCTACATACAGGTACGGAGGCTGCAAGACCAGTCCCTAAGTGTTGCACACAGATATATGTATATATATATATGGAAAAATATATATTGCCATTCTTGCCATGATCATCTTATGGGGTTTTATTTCAAAGCCCTTCTCCTCCAGAAGCAATGTTTTTCTGTCATGCATGAGTGAAGGAGTACGTCAGCACCCCCCTGCCCTTCCCTCCTCGAGGCAAAGGAAGCATGTGCTTGTTTTAGGGATCCTTTATTTCATTTTGTATGTAACTAGATGGCCTTAGTAACCAAGTAGGGTAGGGGTGGATATTGCATGCTATCCAGTGACTTAGAAATACATTTTGCTTGTTTTAAGCAGAGCTTTGATCAAATAAGACTATTTGAGATAATGATAGCTACCCATATGATGCATAATTTGGAACAATAAAAAAACTATTACCTATCACTTGCCTGCAGAATTTTGCTTTTAAAAAACAATTAAAAAAAATCCCTCATAAAACTCTATCATAAAAACATATAAGATGACCATGGCACAAATGGTAGGACAGCTTTCTTTTTAAAAGTTTATCATGCTACAACCAAGACTGATGAAATATAATACACATTTTACAGACCTTGGACAAAATCTGTACAAGATATAGTTATCTTAAGACACTTTTTTTTTTCTTTTTCTAGATGTGACTGAATTGATAAATAGAGTTCCCAATCCTGCTTCTGATGAAGTTGTTTGGAATTTGAGGCCTTATGCAAAGATAGGGCCAGATCCTAGAAACTGCTCCTCACATGACTAGTCTCATTGGGTTAGTCATGTGGACTATTTACAAAACTAAAAATTAGCAGGATTGGGTTTAACGTGTGGTGGTGAAAGTGTGGCAATAGATTAGGAGGGTCTTTATTTTCCAACTTTATACAATTAGTAATAAGCAACTTTTTTTTGTAAACTAGTCTGTGATGTAAAATGCCCCAAATAAAACTGTAATTGAAGAAAGGCACCTTTATGTTAACTTATATTTTTGTTACAGTATTTACTTTTGCCTTTTTTGAAAGTTTTCTAGAATGTAGAGCATCTGTGAAAAACATAATAAGTAAGTAAGCACAAGCCTTTCGCAGTTCTCCTAATTATAATTAGCTTTTATACTATAAAAGCTACTGTGTTGTCCCTTGATGGTTATGTGCTTATGGTGTTTCCATGCAGAAAAATGGAATCACAGAGCATCTGAAAAAACTATTACCAAAACAAGATTTATAATGACTGGCTTTTGGTCAATGGCTGGAAAAGAGTTCAAAGCCATTCTTTACAGATCCTGTCCCGCTTTCAGATGAGTTGAGGGTGTTTGAGGCTTGCCAGAAAATATGTAGCATCTTCAGAAGAACACTCTCAAGACATACAATTGTTTCTATAAACAAGGTACATGAACTACTATAAAACGAGCTGTTTCAGCTTTTAGTCTAAACACAGGCATCTTGGTTGGCTTTGTTTGAGCTTGATGCCTTGGATTTAACCAAAGGCCATACAAAAGGGAGCATTGTAGCTTTTATAATAAAACAATTGGACTATTCTACCAACTTACAGGATTACAAAGCAGGTGCTTTTTATTAATTGATGAGAGCTAAAGCTCATTTTTGATAGATAATATATATTTATTAATGTATTAACGTGTGTTTTATAACGTACCCTTTTTTCCGCTGATTGTTGCATACTGGTATCTTATTAAGTACATCTTTAAAGGATTTTCAAGACAATCAATGTGTACCATGATGACTGTACATAAGTATACAAAACTACAAAGGTTGTAAAGCATGGGCAAATGTTTTATTTTCAAAATGCTGTTCTTAACGAGAATAAAGGCTTTACTATTTACTTACAATGTTTGTGTTAACTTGCTGTTAAAATCCACCTGAAGTTTTTCCATTACAGTGAACGAATGGTGCTACAGACAGCATTGTAAGTGTAAGCTAAGTTAAACTGAAGAAAACAGGCTTCTAGAGGCCACATTCCTCCACCTTTGGCCACATTCCCATGCTTACCCTTAGCTCTGGCACCTATCAAACCCACAGTGAGCCAGTCAAAGAGATGAGAAGCCAAACTCTTAACAGACTAGTGATTTTTTTTTTCCAGTTGGCTCAGCAGTTTCCTGTCCTGGCTCAATTGCTCATGCTTGGGAAAAGGAAGGGATAGGATCATACAGCTGGGGTTGAAGAAGGCTTTTTCTTCAAATGGTTTGATTTTCCAGATCTGGTGCAACAACCATCACCACTCAGGAAAAAAATCAAAGGGTGGGTACCGGTATAACAGTGAAGACAAAGTCTGTGTAAGTGATGGAAGAAATCCATGTGGAGCCACAGCAAGTGCTCTTATCCATGTTTTATCATGTGTTCATTGGAAACAATGAGATCTTTGATTTATATGGAATTAGTAGCAGAGCTGCAAATATCTTCTCTAATTGTGAAATTATAAAGGCTTAAATAACACTATGCTCAACAGGACTAAGTTAAAAAAATGAAGGCTTCTTAGCGGAGGGCCCAGTTTGAGTTTTACTGGACCTAATACAGGTAAGTACGATACATAAGATTTGTGAAAATGCTGCCACTGGGATCTTAATTCTACCCTTTCTCAGCACACGTGCTAAGTGGTAACAAAAGGGCCTTTGAATTTTTTCCCCTGCAGAAATGCAGAGCAACCTCAGCTCTCATTGCCTTCCATTGGAATTGCAGGGGCACAGCGTTTCTGCAAATCGTTCTGAACAGGGCCTGGATTTGTGCAAACTGTCACAGCTCTGCACGAGTCAGTGAAGTCCAGTTGATGCCAGATGAAGATTTTTGCCTTAGCTTTAACACTTGCCTACGTGTGGGTGTAACCCCATTTATTTAATCCAGAGTTTTCTTCCTGTCAGAAACGGTTTTAAGTGAGCATTCAGGAAAACAAGATAAACACAGACTCAACATTTTTGGCTAAATGTGCACAATACCATCTGTTTTAAAAGAATTGTGTTCACTTAGACTAGGACCGAATTTTGTTTTGGCATGCTAGATCCTTATATAATCTCCCTTTGATTTACAATACCTCCCATGTAAAAGTAAAACTACCAAGTTTTACTTCAGAAACTCAGAGAGTTTCTAAATCAGTATCACATAGTTTATTCCATGAGCTTTGTGTTTTGCAATGTTAGTGAGGAAACTAAAGTTGACATATTGAATGATCTGGGATATGTTCTTCCAAGTCTTCCAAGGTGCTTCCCACTGCAACCATACAAAAAAACCCCATTAACAGGCAAAGAAACAAAAAAGTAAACATCCATACTTCCACAGCAAATACTCTCTTGTTCAATAAATAAACAAAAATCCCCCACTCAACCCAAAAAGCTTATTTCTTTTATGCATGGTATTTGTTTTTTGTTTTTACACAGCTTCAGCACTCAGATACTTGCACGTATTTCTCCATGCCAGCTGTGGGAGTTGTGCATCTGAAGCTGAGGGCAGAGCTGTTTGCTAGTAAGTCACTGGATTCTTAAAAAAAAGAATGAAAGCAGCTCTTTGAGGTTTTTGCTTTGAAGAATTTTCAATTAAAAGTCAGGGATGAAGTCATACAGTTCACCTAGTATATAAATATATTTTTGTCATTTAGGACAACAGGCAAGGTCAATAAAGAATAGTTTTTCTATGTCTCAGTGAAAGAAGAATGTTATCCATGTGATTGCAAAGGGTCTGCCAAATGGGAAAAAATCAGTCAAACAAAGAGCACAGGGTTGCTTGCTGGAGTAAACAATTCTAAATGAACAAAAGCTCTACATAAAAGTAAAATGTCCCACCCCCTAGTGAAAGCTGTTTTCAAAGCTCTGTATTCTTTCAGAGTGCTGTAATACAGATTAACCTAATGTTTTTCTTCTGCTGATACAAGTCTGGTTCCTCATTCTACTCCTGTGATTTCAGCTATCGTATTCGGGGTTTAATATTTTAGAATTTTACAAACTGGCTTTTAATTTAAAAAAATCTGGTTTTCTACTCCCTACACTTCAGAAGATGCATCTGTACTATACACCTTTCACATCAAGTTTATGGGGAGATTTATATGTAAAAGTTATGCTAGAGGCAAAGAACCCCAAATAAACTAAAAGAAAAAATTCTCCTCTTTTACATACAGTTTCAAGAGGGCTTAGTTACCCTTCCAAGGCATGCAACTGAAAACCAGCAAACAAAATCCTCTTGGTACATACCCAGAGTTCTGAGATGCCACAGGCCCATGTGTTAACTTAAGGTGCTCAATGTGCTACCAACCTGGAAGATCTCAGCTCATAGAAAACACACAGGAGAAGTGATGTATGAGGAGGAGGAACACAGCCAGTACCTTAGAAACCCAAAATATGACTGCAGTGGCAGGATACACCCTATGTTCTACAATGTTCAAGGCAATACGTGCCAAGTGCCTTCCTGGCACAAGACCCTTCTGAATTTTAGGCCTTCTGCTTGTACAGCTGGTGAGGGGAAAAATCAAGAGTGGATTCAATATCCCACATGACTATGAATATCCTATATACAAAATACTATCTAGCACATTGAATTTTATGTGATGAGGCTGGCCTTTCCAAATATTTCATATGCAACATATTCAAAAACCTCAGGGCTCACACACACTTTTCCATTAAAGCAAGCAGGTGTTTTAGGTATCTGCTAGCAGTGCTTTTAGTTGAGAGTGTCCATGTCTTATCATAACCTGTGTTACTTAAGCATAACAATTTCAAATCACATCACACTAACCAGGAAGCACAGGTTGTCAGCAGGAATCTGAATTTCAAGCAGTTGTTTAAATAGTTTCTGACATATACTTGCTTCCTATGCAGATAGAAAAGTAAGATGTCCTCAGGATTCAGATAAGCTGGAAAGATGGGGAAAGAAGTGCCTGGCTAAGTCTTTTCACTAGAAATTTCCATTGGAAAAATGTATTTTTCAGGATGTGACACCTCAAACTGAACTAACTTGCTTAAAATACTTTGAAATGCCTAAGGAAGATGTTTAGAACAAGTTCTACTAGCTGATAATCCAGCCCATTTCTTTCAGACAACACATACCTAAAAGCAATGAACAGTGTAAATGTCAACACCAATGACCAAGCTTCCAACCATGCCATTCCTGTGCTGAATTTTAACCATTTCAGTCTTAAGAGTCCTGTCATTCCTTCAACAGAACAAGACAAAGACCCATTTCTATTTTCAGTTGCATTTAAAAAAGTAATAAAAGTCAAACTTTAGCAGCATCATTCCCACATTATGCTTTTATGTCCCTAGTCACTGTGTGCAGTTATGCTGGCAAATCCCTACCATTGCAGAACTCTGATTCTGCTGCAAAGGAGAACATTTCTTTTTCTTCACTGAGATTTCCTGCATGCTGGGAAAAGGCACATGGACATAACTGGGCAAACAAACTCCTGGGGATGTCACAGGATTGCAAGTGTGCAGTTGCTGCCAGACTCAGGGCAATGCCAAGAAAACCATTCTCGCAGGAGGCTGGATTCAGCTCCCAGGAAAACGACAAACACCTTAAATCCCAAGATGTTTGTGTAACTGAATGTGTGAAAATTATCTACAGAGAATACATAATCACTGGTTTAATGAGGTGTAACATTAGATTTAAGTATAAGTAACACAATCATGCTCATTGGCAGCACGATCACAGTATTTCATATGGTTTTAAAACATTAGCTCCTCTTTTCAGTCCTAAGACATAAAGGAACTGAGGCCCTTAAGTGTTGTAACAGTGTATGTTACAAAAAAATAAAATCTCACATCTCACTTATTTCTATTATTAGAGTTTCTACCTGTGTAGGTCATATGATTTTGTTGGCACTATGTTTCAGTCACCTTACTCCTTACTGTAGTTTTCAGACTCATTACTCATTACTCTTATTTTAAATAGTGAACAAACCTGATTAAACTGTCCTAAATTATAGGACACTATAGCCACCACTACAATAATAAGCACTAGTGGGGACTGTGCTTAATTTCCTTGGAAATGAGGTGGGGTTGCTCTTGAGGAGCACAACTGTTAACTGTTATTTTTGACTTGCTGCTCCTACTACAATAAGGTCATCTACTACTTGGTCTGCCACGTTCCTTGGAAGTGCAGCTCATTTGACATAGTTTATCAGGTATGTGTTGCAGTGTTGAGGCACAGATGATGGCTAAAGGAAGCACTGGAATGTATCTGGATTTACTGTTCGTTTGCTCCTGGGAGTGGAATATTCAAAAATCTGCAGAACTCCTATTAGCTGTCTGAGGATTGGCCTTTGTCCTATTTATATATGCATTAAGCTCAAACATCTTTACCATCTATTTTGGATAGCAGGCACTATTTTCCCTCATCTTAATGTACAGGTCTGGTGCTCTGTTTTGACACTTGGTTGTTTCAGCATAACTGTGAAAAAACTATGACCTACTTTATACACTACTGTATAACACAACTGGCTTGAGACAGCAGCTTATGAAAGGTTTGTAAAGAACTCATTACAGACTGTGCTTCTTCATGAAACTCTAAGAATTACATTTAGTAATTTAAACAGCTGAACACAGTAATGAAAAATACTATAGACTCGGACTATAAGAAGATGAAAATCCATTAAAGAAAATCTATTGGAATAACTTATTAGCAGGGGCTTAGAGTAAAATATATATATAGAAAGGAGTTTCGCCCTAGCCTCCCAATGAAATGCCAAAGAAGCCTGAACATGAAATTGGAGCCACCAGCAATCTTTCTGAAATAAGACCTGACTTTTAAAGGCACAGTTTTTTATAAAGTGTTTATAATTTTAGCCTCTTACTATTGGAAGTCTGCCCGTACACAACTACTAGTGAAACCTTTTGCTTCAGGAAATATTCAGTCACTAGTAATAGGAAAATGGTGTACTGAATAAATATCTACTAAACAAACAAACTAATAATAAAATGGAAATAATGCCCATAGACACTCCTGCAACTCATGAATCTGAAATGGAACTGTCAGAGGATCACTAAGCAGAAGAGGCTTCTGCAAAATGGATGTATAAATGTGATGGGACAAACCTAATTCTCCAAACAAGGAGCAGAGTTTGTAAAATGCTTAGTCTTGTCTTCATGACTAAAATTTCAGGGCATTTTTTAATTCACTTGGGATCAGATTAAGGAAGCAAGAGCTGACATACAGGAGACTCCCAAACACCAACATCCAGTGATGGATATGGAAGAAGAGGGCTGAAAGATCTCTAGCAGAATTTGTTTATGCAGTGCATAATTAATTTGAATATATCTGAATGGCATTTAGACAGTTCAAGGAAAGAAATATAGGAACATACAAGCGTTAGACTATGAACATCTGAGTTAGGAAAGAACTACAGAGAATTAGATATACTGGAGACTGTTGCTTCCAATTGATTATCCAAGTGTCCTCCAAATAATTCAGTTACCTGAGATGCATGAAGAGACAGCCACAGAAACACAACAGTTTATGGAAGACAACCCTGGACTGAGAGAAAAATCCAGAATGAAGGCAACCAGTGCATCTCCAGAGCATCTGATTAATGCAGGGTTCTTTCAATGTAAATAGTCAAAATAAAGAGAATGGTGAAAACAGAAAGAACTGACCAGAAATAGAGAGAAATCATCCCAGAGTGGCAGGTCCTCAGCTAAAAAAGCATTTACAGGCAGAAGCCAACAAAGGCAGAAACTCAGAATTCCAGATTTGCTGGGCAGATTCATGAAAAATGCATTTATACTGATTAGCCCCTCTTATTTCTGACATGATTTCTACTTGCAAAATGTGATAGGTCCTGTAAAACCACCCAATTTAAACTCTTGCACAGACTAAAACAAATTATCAGGTAAAAAACCAGACTGTCATATCAGAAAAGACCTCCAAGTGACCAATACCACAGTGTGGGTTTAAAGGGAAGTCTGGGGCAAATAGCTTGTGTGTTCTGCAATCTGTCACCCACTTCTTTGTTATTCTCTGAATCATATTTTAAAACTCCTAATTAACAGCTCGTGGTCTTTCTTTCCCTGCCTTACCTCCCCTCCCTTTTATTTTTAACTAAGAGTCTCAAGTCTAGTTTTGCTGCAGGACTACTTGGAGGCTTTATTTTTTTAACTGGGGACAGTCTTTTCTCCAGGATTTAAGGCATCCCATAGTTATAAATAGAAATTTTGGGCTTGCATATCTGAATGGCTAGCAAAAGACACCAACAGAATTTTCAATAAAAATGCTCCCACGTTTTT